TCATATATAGTCTTTATTGTGTTTAGGTCCATTCCTTCTATACCTAATTTGTTGAGTGATTTTTAAAAATTTATGATGGGATACTGAATTTTGTTAATTGCTTTTTCTGCATCTAGTAAAATGATCATATAGTTTTTGTTCTTTGTTCTGTTACTGTGATGTATCACATTTATTGATTTGAATAGGTTGAACCATCCTTGCATTGTGGGACTAAATTGCATTGGATCATGGTTAATAATCCTTCCAGTGTGTTGTTGAATTGAGTTTGCTGGTATTTTGTTGAGTATTTTTGCACAACAATAATACTGGTCTGTAATTTTCTATTCTTGTTATGTTTTTGTTTGGCTTTGGTATAGGCTAATTCTGGCTTTGTATGAAGAGTTTGGAAGTATTCCCACTCCTCAAATTTTTGGAAGGGTTTGTAGAGGACTGGTATTTATTTTTTAAATGTTTCTGTAGGAAAAAAGATGCACTTTGAGACCATGATGCTAAGTGAAGTAAATCAGACAGGGAAGTTCAAATATTACATGGTTTCTCTTATATGAGAAACCAAAAGTATAAATGATTTAAAGGCAAAGTAATGAAAGATAGATGATAGGAAGCAGGGAGATAGACTCTGTGAATTTGGGAAGGGGTTTGGGGATAGGGAAGATGAAAACATGGGGCGGGAAAGAGAGAGTAAAAAGGATGAAGATGGATTATGTCAACATACCAGTTCCCCAAGATGAATGTAATATTATGCATAGTAAATATATACTAACAAAAAAGAAACAACAAGATCAACCTAGTGAAGCTCTTGCCCCAAATCAATCTCTAAATATTTGCCATAAACTTTCTATATTGATTCAAAGCCAAGTACAAAGGGAAAATACAAAATAAATTTCTTTTTAAATGTTTGGTAGGATTTAGCAAAGACATCATCAGGCCCTGAGGATTTTGTTGATGAGAGACTTTCATTACTAATTCAATCTCCTTACCCACTCTTGCTCTGCTCATGCTTCTCTTTCTTCATGATTCAGTTTTGGTACGTTGCAGGTGTCAAGGAATGTATCCATTTCTTATAGGTGATCCAGTTTTTTGGCATATAATTGTATTTCTGTGATATCAGTTGTAATATATCTTCTTTCATTTCTGATTTTATTTCTTAAAATGTCTCATCTTTCATTTCTGATTTTGAGTCCTCTCTTTTTCTCAGTCTAGCTAAAGGATGTCTATTTTGTTTATTTTTTTTAATCAACTCTTAATTTTGTTGATCTTTTAAAACTGTTTTTCTCATCTCTGTTTCATTTACTTCTTGGTCTTGGTTAGATTTTTCCTTGTGCTGACACTGGACTTAGTTTCTTCTTTTTCTTTGAGGCATAAGAAGCATAAGATCAAGGTATTTATTTGAGAGCTTTCTTCTTTTCTGATGTTGACATTTGTTGCTATAAACTGAGAATTGCTTTGTTGCATCTCATGAATTTTGGTATGTGTATTTACATTTTCATTTATCTAAAAATATTTTTTGATTTCCCTTTTCATTTTCTTATTGACTCATTGGTTGTTCAGAAGAGTGAAATTTAGTTTCCATGCATTTGTGCATTTTCTGAGCTTCTGCTCTTTGGGTGGAAGGGCTGGACAGGATCGCAGGAGAGTGGCACACAGGTTGTGTGGGGTCATTCACTGGGATGGATGGCTTGTGCTTTTTGCTCAGGAGAAAGACACAGGTGAGATTCGCTCCCTGCCTATGCAGGGCCTGAGCTGAGTTTTGAGGCTGGGCTGAGAACTCCTGGTTGTGGCATATTTAGCCCCTGCTCTTTGTCAACATGGGCTGGGAGGCGAGGAGGGCTTAGGAGTAGGCTTTAAGGTCATATCAGGTACTGATGAACTGCTAGGTTGGTGCAGCAAGCTCCTGCTCCAGGGTGAGATCCATGGCCAGTCTGGGAGGCTGGCCGCATAGAACTTTCCCTCTACGTGTGGGAGTGGTCAGCTCAGCTTTTTGGGTGGCTAAGCCGTACTTCTAGTGGTACAGCAGAGTTCACCAAGCTCCGGGTCAGCTCATAGAGCTGCCACCAAGTCCCATATGTAGCTCACTGTGGGCTGCTCCTCCTTGCTCTGTCTCTCCCTGACCCGGATGGCCTTATCATGCCATTTTTCTGCATTCCCTCTGAGATGAGAAAGGGAAGCATCTTGGGATCCTGGGGAAGCTGGATTTCCACCTCTGGTTCCCTTTGGTCTGCTCAGAAACTGGTTCTGGGGTGCCCTTGCTGTGAGAGGGGGTGATGTCATCAGGGTGACATCATTTCTTCCACCCTTTCTGTTTTCATTCCACTCCATGCAGGTGAGTCAGGCTTATTGTCAACTTGGGGGTTCACCCCAAGGTGAAATCACTGTGGAGAGTTGCTGGTGAATCTTTCTGTGGGGGTCGTGAAGCCTTTGACTTCCTGTGCTGCCACCAAGCTAATGTCACCTGTCACTTTTTCAAATCTCTATAAGCATTGCCAAAGCATGCTCTCAGAGGCACAGCAGTTTATGTGGCTGTTAATATCATGTGAATGTTCTAGTTTCATATTCTTCCCAGCATTGAATATTAACATTGTTCTAAAATATTGATAACTTAAGATTTAGAAAGTAGGGCCTGGTTTTGTTTTAATTCATATTCCTGGGAGTAATATGGAGGTTGGACATTTCACTGTACCTATATACTGCTTATGTCTCCCCTGGTGTGAATTTTCTTCATGTCCTAATTGCCTAGTGGCCCAAAATGATGACTTTTTAAGTGAATTTCATCACCCTTATGCTTAGTTTTTTTTTATAATTAGATAATTATTAAAAGGCAACCCTTTGCTGTCATAAGAAGTAAGGCAGCTATTTTCTTGATTTACTGTTTCTCTTTCGTTATCATGATACTTCATTATTTTGAGGTTTGTATTTTAATATAATCAAATACATTAATCTTGTTTTTAAAAATGTCTTCTGTTGTTTGAAATCTATTAATTCATCGTTCTTACCAAGGCTTGATTAAAAACTCTATTCTATCCTGTTTGCTTTTCTTATTCTTCAAACCAAAACACTTTAATCCATTGTTATATAAATTGGGTGTCCAATTTTTAAAAAACTTTTTTCCAGATAGATAATCTATTTTCCCTCCAGTCTTTATTAAATAATCCTTTCTTTCTCTATTGTTTTTAATACCTCCTTTGCCATATCTTAAATTCTTATTCATACTTTGGTTCAACTTGCATTTCCTATTTTATTCTGTTAAGCTAGATTTCTATTATTGTGCATGGACAATTGTACATAAGGCTCTTCTACAGTGGTCCATCCATTGTATAAAAATAATCTTTTTGGGGGTCGGGGATTTAGTTCAGTGGCACTGCACCTGCCTTGCAAGTGCAAGGTCCTGAGTTTGATCCCCAGTATCCCCCCCAAAAAAACCTTTTTGTTTTCTGTTCTGTTTTTAGAAATTACATTGGGTTCCCTATCCTGTCACAGTCATTTGCTTTTAACTTATTTTTAAAATTTAGATGATGATTGTTAAGAATTTAGGACTAGTTATGTCATCTCCCAAGAAGGGGAATGCTGCTGTATTCTGCCTGAAACTCCTGGACCAGGAAACCTGAATTCACTAATTCACACTAGGTGTCACTCACCCCCCCCGCCCCCCCGCCCCGTGGGCTATGCCAACTCCCAACCCCCAGGAGAAAGTGGTAGCATAGGAACACCCAGTATTGCTAGAGACAGCACCTTTAACCTCTCTCTACCTCTAACTCAGAGCATCACCAGAAAACCTAACCCACTTTCTAAATGTAGGCTTAATATTTTTGTTAATTTACTAGGATGAGTCCATGTTTATATGGGTTTATATGGGGCACATTTTGCCTGCCTTTTAGTGATGTAAGAGATCACTAAAGAGAACCTGTACACAAATATTCACAGAAGCTAAGTTTATAATCATCCCAAATGTAGCTCAGTAGGTGAAGAGATGAAACAAACTAATCTGGCCATGAAAGGGAGGAATTTTTGGCAAAAGAAGCAGGATACAGCATGGATAAATGGCGGAGACATTATACTGAGTGAAAGAAATGAATCTCAAAAGCTGGGAATGGAGGGTGCTATTTGTGTGACTCTCTGGAAAAGGCCAAACAATAAGGATGGAAAAGAGATTGGGAATTTGCAGGGTCAGAGATTGAGTTAAGGGGGGAGTGCATCGCTAGTCAGGAGAGGGAAGTTTTATGGGGTGATGAGACTGCTGTGTGGCCTGAGTGTTGGAATCCACAAGAATTTAAACAGGTTACAGCTCATAAAACTGAAAAGAAAAAGTCAAATGTGTTTCATTTTAGTTTAAGAAATAAAATTTAAATCACTTGTCTATTCTTTTTTCTAAGGCAAACAATACAGGAAAGGATAAAGAAGGAGGAAATATAAAATCTTAAATCTCTGTCTAGAAATTATTTGAGGAATGATTCTTTCTGTCCAATTTATGAACGTATAGTACAGACAAAAAACTCCAAATAAATGTCTTTGAATTTGTTATTTTCTTTAAATACTCAATATCTGGGATTTAAATGAAAATCCCTAAGAGCCTGGTTAATGAGGCATAAAATCTTGATCTAAGTAATATTTTAGAGACTTGAAAAGCTACTTTCCATGGAGATGTATTCTAATGAAATGGTGGACTTTAATTGAGCAGTTAACTTGACCTTTATTACTAACTCACTATGTGCTTCAGTGTTGCCTCGCCTTTCACATAAAACAGATCTGTGGAAGATAAGCCAGTGTTTAGGTAGAGAGAAGGAGGGCAAGGGACAGCCAAAAGGGTGGGGCCAGCGCCACAATCTGTGCAGCTGCCAGAGATGGCACTTTGTCCCCCTGCCACGAGAGCAGGTCGGAGACCTCACCTGCAGACAGTGCACCGCTCACACTGGCGGCATCAGGAGCCTGGCAGAAGCTATGCAAACAGAACAAATAAGACCACGTGGCCCAGATGATAGGAGGTGGAGAAGTAACACACTGGCAGATGTTTTCCATGATTGCCAGAGCCTTTTTAATCCCATGTCTCGGGTCTCTTTCGTTTGTATGGAAAAGTCTGGATGGAGAAGACTAGGGGAGGTGTGACTCCAGAGGGAAGCGGGGATGTCTGGGGTGATGGCACGTTCCAGGGTCCTGATGCTGATCTCTGGACACACACCGCTCAGGGTCTAGGAGAAGTGTGAGTTTCTTCAAGGATGTTTGACCCAAGGAGGAAGGCAGGGTAAGGAGATCAGCTCAGGGTCTGGCTTTGCCAGCTGGGAGAATGGAAGTCATTGGCAGACTTTGGCCAGAAGGGGCTAGACAGGAAGCACTTACTGAAAGTGAACCGGAGCTGTGACTGGAGGAGAGGGTCGCCCGCAGGAGATGAGGTATCAGTGGAAGAGTGTGGCCAGCAACAAGCAGTAGCCTGGAATGGACGGAGCTGGGGTAATGATGAGCTCGCTCCTCCCACCTCGGCCCCCACCCCCCACTGAGGGATGAAAACCCCATGACCTCTCAGGGATGGAGACCCCGCCAGCTGACACGGTATTGCAGGGAGAGGCCAGGCCAGTTTTGTCCCCACCCAGAATCTAAACTGTTAGTTCAACTCAGGCTTCTTCCGGAGGCTGTAGGAAAACAGCAGTGGTGTGTTACAGAGTTGCAGACATTCTCATTAGTGTGACAGGCTGGGTGATCTAAGTCAATGATAATGGCATCCCTCTTCCTTTCTCTGCCAGGGTCTTTGTTCCCTGGTGAGGTGCCCAGCCTTCCTTTTTAAAGGATCTTAGTCCCCAGTGTGCCTGTCTTTATCAGGACACCACGCTGGACCCAGCCAGGCTGTACCTCCTGGAGACCCACACCCCAGCCCCTCACACATGCACAAGTATCTCAGCTGAGTCTGTAGTGGCATCCACAGCTGAGCAGCCAAGTGTCTCACCAAGCCAGTGCTCTTGTGTGCCAGCTGGGGTAAGGTCGCTGGTCCCATAGATGGGGTCCATCCCACACCTGCACCAGCAGAGGCGCCCCTGTGGGTTCGAGGCCATGTTGCATCTGATACCATGGTGATTGATGGATGCAGTGTTCTGGAAGTCCCCAGTGACAGTGGTGGCAGGGAAGATAGCGTCACATCTGGGACATGTATATTTCTGTGTTCCCTGTGAGGCAGGGGCCGGTGTAACCTTGACCAGGTGTCTGCAAAGTCCACCCAGGGCAAGAGGTCAGACTGAGGGCTCTGCCTTGGCCCCTGCCATTGGCAGGACAGGCTCTTAGCAGGGCAGTGCCAGCTCAGCTTTAATGATGAGAAATCTGTAGTTTTGAACCAACGCACTGCCACCAGGGTCCCCTTTGGTGTCCAATTAAGAACCGAGTTACCTTCGGAGATGACTGACTGGCCTCTTTGGAACAAGTCACCTTTTATCCTCAGTGCTTGCCTTCCAGTGGCATTTAAGGGTGACACATACATCCTTATATGCTGAACTTGTCTTTTGAGGTCCAGCAGATGCCTCTTTCCGAGGCCTTTTTTGTCATCAGTCTTTCAATGTCATTCTCACCGGGTCCTAGATCAGTCAGCCAGCCCACTGGTCACTGCCCATGAGTCAAAATGTAGCTCCAGATGCTCCTCCATGGACAGTGTAGGCCCCTTGGAGGTACGGTGCTGTCCCTCAGGGCCACCCTGGGAAGGACTGTGAACATAAGAAGTAGCTGCTGGTGGCATCTTGCACTACCCTCTGTGGGCCCGACCCACACCCTTTTCTCCTAATGAGGCACAAGGACATTCCCAGAAGCCACAGCAGTGGGTGAGGGCAGAGTCCAGGAAGTGCAGCAGCAGGTGCCACGGAAGTGGGAGGCAGCTGTTTGTGCCAACCCTTTCTCTCTCCCTGACCTGCTTGGGCCTGGCCTCATACGAACTATTTCCAGTAGCAGTGGAATGCTATTATTCACATGCACAGTGCGTCAGAGACCACTGGGATCAACCAGTGACTCTCATGGTGACTTTTGTCTCTCAGGTCAGGCATTCAGTCTCTGCCAGGTCTCACTCAGTACAGGCCATAGGCAGAAGGGCCCAGTGCCCTATTTCTTGGTGTTAGGGCCCTCCTGGGACCTTGCCAAAGGGTCCATGTTACCTGTCTGCCACTGTGCTTTGATTGGCATTGGCAGTCTATACTCTGGCCTCCACCATCCATACCTGCTTTTCACCGACCTATGTCTCCATCAAAACTGGCCACCTTATGAGTTACCTGCAGAGGGGTCAGAGGGGCAGGATGAAAGTGTCTCCTAAATCCTGGGCACCTTCATGCATGGCCTTTTCCCTTTGTGATCAGTGGCACAAAGGGCAGCAATCTGTGCAGTGTGATAAAAAAAACAGTGAATGTTTGAATTTTTAAAAATTTATTATAGTAAAAGGCACATTGACATGAATCCCTCAAAACCCTCGCTCCTCTTTGGAACAGACTTATCCCATTGTTCTTGCCACTTTCTGAAGCAGTTCTGGAGTCCTCTTTCCTGAGTGTTTTTAGTTGCACTGTTGTGGCTGCCTCCATGTCCTGAATCGATTCAAAATGTTTCTCTTTCCTGGCCATTTTGACTTTTGGAGAACCAGAAGCCACATGGTGCCAGATCTGGTGAATAAGGTGGATGAGAACACAGCGTCATGTTTTTATGAGCCTGCTTTCTCATCAGATGGCGCTCGGCAGCACATTCACTGTGTTTTTAAAAACATGAAGGAGGACTTCCAGAACTGCTTCAGAAAGTGGCAAGAATAATGGGATAGGTGTGTTTGAAGCGAGAAGGAGGATTCCAAGGGGAAATAATGGCAGTGTGTCTTTTACTATAATAAAGTTTTAAAATTTAAAATTTCACTGTATCTTGCTCATACCTCCCTTGTATCTTCCCTCCAGAAGGCCAATTCCAACCAACCTGTTTCAGACCTGGAACCCCTAGAACCTGCAGGATGTGGCAGTCCTGATCTTCCTGGGATTTGTCTCTTCCCCTTTGGCATATGTCTTTCTGTGGCCTCTAGGGTGTTTATCACTTCTCAGGCCTGGTTAATATATTACACAGTCAGTGTAGTGGGCCATGCAATGGTCACACCACATCGAAACAGTGTGTCATTGCTCTTTAGACCTCTGCAGGACCCTCTGGGCAGAGTTCCTTCACATTTTATTGCCACAGAAAGCAGGCAAGTTGACATACACTAGAGATAAGGTGTCCTGATCTGCTCCCACATAAAGGGAGCCTTTGCTGATATTAATGGAAAACTCGCATTTGCTGTGTCTACAGGGGCATAGCAGAATAGCATGTGCACTGGCCACACTGGTGAACTCAAGGAAAAGGATAGAAATCAGCACCTCATCTTTTTATTCCTTAATGGTGGCTCTGGTCTGGTTTTCCCAGGGCAAGCAAGCACAGGGACGCATTACTTCCTGTCTACTCTTTGGGGATGGGTTGACACTTCCACTTCCTGTCATGATAGCTGTCACTTCATGGATCAGAGAGCCTAGGTAGGGATTCTGCAGTGATCAGGACTCTGTATTCCCATTGTGAGGTAACCACAGAATAAGTCTGTGATCCACTGTGAAATGGATGTAGCCTCCATTTGTCCCTCCATGAGCCTCCACCTGCCCCAGCAGACCATGATGGCCCTGTGGCTCTTCAGGGGTTGTCACCATCAGAACTACCACCTGACAGCCCCTGGTTGCCTGTGTGCTCTTCTTTCTTACCACACGGTTGCCTTGGCAATGGATGAAGGGTCTTTGCTACAACGTTTGGCCCAAGATCCTCTGGACCCCCTGACAAGGTTGGAAGAAACTTCCCAGCATGAACCTGTGGCTGTGTTTTTGGCTGACCTTTGAAGGTGTCCAGGCTCCCCCTTTAGCTGAGGGGTTTGGGCTCCATGGATTGGTTTGGGCCTGTGAGCTGGACAGAAGGACATGAATTCCCACTAAAAAACTGAAGCCAGGCTTCTGTCCCTCAGGCCCAGGATCTCTGTCCATATCTGTGGACCCAGGCAGATCAGGCAACACCTGCATGTTTCTGGACGCCCCTGTGGTCACAAATCCTCTGTGGCTAGTATGATAATCACCCCCAAACTGGAGCTACAGGACAAAAATCCCCAACAGGAGGGTGCACCTTTGTGGAGAAACTCTTCTCTGCCAGACAGTGGTCGAACAGAGAAGCAGCTGGGGATGGAGGATTAATACCACAGTCACCTTTCAACCCTCTCCAGGGTCCACATAGACCCAGGCAGGGCAGCCCACAGACACAGCCCATGGAGGTCAGCTTGTGGCACTGAGCATGGCAACAGGTGGTGGTTGAGCAGGGGAGCTGGGGGGAAGCAGGAGACCCTGCAGAGGGGCGTCTTCAGCTGTGTCCCTGAGGTCCAGATTAAGATGGCAGGTCAGGGACTGAGGCACTGAGACTGCTCAGCTGGACAGAAGGACTGAGTAGATTCGGGTGAGAGCTTAACTCCATAACTCCATGGGTACGATGGATCTGGGTGCATCTGGGTGTGAAGTTGCTCTGTGCTTTTATTTCCACTTGGTGCTCATTACTTTCTGCCCAGGAACTGAACTCACTGTTCAGTCCAGGGAAGAAAGCAGTTTTCTCTAGTATGTTTTGAAGTGCAGTAGAAATGTTCAGAACAGAGTTCAAAAGCAAATGAACTGAGGAAAGCTCAGCATAAGTAGGTTTCATTTCTGTAGGACGTCATGCATGGCGGCAAGGGGCCACGAGGGGGACAGGGGGGTGTTTCTCACTATTGTCACAGAACAGTGCTGTCTTGGCTGGGCCATCTCCTAGGCCCAGGACCCTGAATCCTGGTGTCACAGCACACTAGTACAGAGTGATGTGTTGTACAGTCTGCAATGTGATGCAGAAGATTTTACTTTTTGTTACTTACCCATAGTACAGCTTAAACATTCAAGGGCAAAGTCCAGTGGTTCTTCCTACAGTAACGCCGCTTACCCTTATCTTTCAAAGAAGAAAAGGGCTGGACAGGTGGTGACCGCTGACATTAGACCACACCCCTGATGGTGGCAATGTCACATGAGAAGACTGGGCTAGGCTGGTGGGATGGAGAGGTCCTGGTCTCCTTGGGGGTGCAGGGTTCTTGGGCCTTGGGAAAGGGGATGCCACATGCTTGGGACACACTCAGTCTCACCAGCATATGGTCACAAGAGAACCAAGTGAACCATCACAAATTGTGCAGCACGCTGTGGATGAGATGAGATGAGAGATGAACAGGAGCTCTGAGGCACTGGGCATGGAACTGAGGCTGCCAGATCGCATCCTCCTCACCGTTCGGGTCACACCATGGTTCCTGGGCAGGGAAAGGCATCCCAGAGCCCTTGGAGGAGGAGGCAGCTTGCATATTTGCAGGTGGGAGGGAGGAGAACAGGTCAGGTGGCAGAGATCAAGAGTTTAATTTGGGACACATTAAGCTCGAGATAAGCCTGTTAGAACAAAATCCAGTGCTGGTGAGGAGCAGGCTGCAGGGAACACCGAGAATTCCAGGCTGCACACCCTCCGGGTCAGGAGAGAGTGTACCGGAAGGTGGAAGAGTGGACAAGGTTGCCCAGGAAGACAGTGCAGGTGGAGAAGCAAGACAGACGAGGGGTAGAAGCTTCAGACAGGACAGGGAAGAGCAGCGAATGGGCCCTTCACCTCACATGCTTTCTATATTCTCCTCTTGCCATTTACACTTGTAGTTCCGCCCTTCCTCCCACTGCAATCCCAGATCCCATGCTGCATTCGAGTTGTCACTGGTCCCTGGGACTGACCTGATGAGCCTCTGCCCTTGTTACTCCTTGCTGCCTCTCTGATGGCAGCCATCTGTTGCTCGGATGCGACTTAGGGACCAGGGTGCACATTCATATGTTCCTTCTCCCCTTTCCATTACAGAGCCAGCCGCATGCAGCCGTGTCTCCACCTGGCTTTTAGGATGGGAAAGATGGATTGGGACAATGTGGCTCCCACACTCAGAATCCAGAGGCAATAAAAGGGCTCACTTGACACTGTTAAGGGTTAAAAAAATCAGCCTATATTTATGATTTTGGTTACTAATGGTTATTCATGGGATTTCTAGTAAAATGCTGTTCCTTCTAAAGAAAACTGTATTTATTCATGTTGATTATGAAAGCCATGCATCCTCAAAATGGAAAATAGGGGAAAACGTAAGGAAAAAAATGAACCACCCATAATTGTAACAGCCAGAGACAGCTACTATTAATATTTTGCTCTATTTCCTTTCAGAGTTTCTTTTGTGTATGAATGTACACACATTTGCATACATACCTAACATAGTTAAGACCATATGAGGTATAAATTATGTTCTGTTTTCTCACGGATATATTCATGTTTCATGTTGTTAAAAAAGAACCCAAATTAATTTTTATTGGCTGCCTCGTGTTTGGTCAACCCTCAAGTCAAAGGGTTTGAACATCTTTAAGGTTTATGCTACATTTTGCTAAAATGCCCTTCAGGTGGGTGCTGATTTATTCTTACACGGGAGGTTCATGAGCATGCTCTGTGGCAGCATCTAACATGGCTGTTTCTAAAATCCTTGCGGGTGTGGTGGGCAGAAGGAGCTTTTTATTATTGTTTTGACTTGCAGGCCCTTGACTGCTCCTGAGGTCATGTGCTTTTCTTGTTCAACATTTTCATGTACTTCCTCAGTAAGCAATTTCTGTTCGTGTCCTTGTCCATTTTCTATGGTTTTAATTTTTCTTTACCATGAAGCTTTATTGAAGTACACATAGGTTATCAAAGATAAACAATCATTCTTAACTGTTCATATTATAATGATTTCTGGCAGTGGTGTGCGTTTCCCTAGTGGAGACACACCATAACCTCACTCTGGTCCTTTGTGATCACCTCAACCCTCACCCTCAGCATGCTGGCTGGCCCTGTCACTAGAGTTCTGCCTTTTCAGGAGTTCTCACAAGGGGAATCGCATAGTACGTAGCATTTTGTGTTTGACTACTTCTATTTACCATTTTTTAACCATGCTGTCACATGTCCATTCCACTAATTTCTCCTGCCAGCTAGTATTCCACAGTATGGATCTGCTGCAGTTGCTTTATCCGCTCACCAGTTGATGGAAACTGGGTTGTGTTTTGGTTTGGGGGTGTTATGGAAGATGCTGCTGTGAACATTCACATACAAGTCTTTGTGTGGGCATATGTTTTCATTTCTCATGGGTAAATGTCTAGTAATAAAGTCACCAGATTGTATAGTGAGTGTATATTTAAACGCATGACACTACCAGGCTGTTTTTCCAAAGTGACGGTGCCATTTTGCAGTGCCACTAGCAACATGCAGAATTCCAGATGCTCCACATTCTCACCAACACTTCCTAACTTCAGCCACATTGGTGATGTGTGGCCTTACCTCATTTGGTTTCAAATTTGCATTTTCCCAGTGACTGATGTTGATCTTCTTTTCATGTGATCATTGGCCATTCGTATGTCTTCTTTGTTAGATCTGTACAAATCTTGTCTTCATATTACTGAGTTGTAGTGCTCACTTCGGCAGCACATATACATATGACTGAGTTGTTTTCGTATTATTGATTTGTAAGCATCTATTTATTCTTCATTTGAGCCCTTTATTTGAAATACATATTCCAAATATCTCTCAGTGTGGCTTACTTTTTCATTTTCTTAACTGTGTTTAGAAATGCAGAAGGTTTTTTTTTTTAATTTTGATGAAGCCCATTTAAAAATTTTTATGGGTAGTTGTTTTGAGGGGTCCATTTTCAGAAATTTTTGCCTAACCCAATATTACAAGTATTTTACCCTATGTTTTCTACTGAAGTTTAATAATTTCAGCTTTTCTATTTAGGCCCACTTTAAAAAATTTTTGTATATGGTGTGAGGTAAGGATCAGGTTCATTCTCCCTCTAAACAGAGATCCATTGTTCCAGCACCATTAGTTAAAAAGCCTATTTCTCTGATTAATTACTTGCACCTTTGTTGAAAATTAGTTGACCAT